CGGTCCACCCCGGCCAAGGTCGCATGATATCGGCCACAACTCCCACATCGCGGCCGGGCTTAGGAACCTATGTAATACCTAGTAAGTCGGGCGCCATTTGCGCTGAGCTTCCGCTCATTTAATTCCAGATCCATTAGAACTATAGTACATTAATCCACCACTGTCTGACTGCTGTGGTGACAATGGTAATCTTATCGAGTGACAGTTTTCGAAAAACGGCACTTGGTATGCCAAGACGTCGAAGTGGCCGATCCCGGGATGTCTACTGCTTCATACCACCGCTGTACTCTTTATCGTACGCCTTTCTCTTTCCGTCAGAGGTGCAGCATCCGCAACATTTTCCAACCAAAAACAGGATTGGGGAAAGGAAGAGCAGGAGCGTTGCTATCTCAGTCAACCACGTGGCGTTTCCTATCAACACTGACCCCCCAAGGTCGTTCACTACGCGCAGCTTGATGACCGAGTAGAATGCAATGTCGAAGATGAAAACCCCGAGCGAGGCTGCAGCTGAGAATCCGCAGAAGCAGCTGCTGCAGACCACCGCAAGCGTCGTACCGAGGAAGGCCAGTAGTCCGAAGAAGAACGAGACGCCAGCGATTACCAAGTTGACGTAGTGTAGAACGAGGAGTTTAGTCAACTGGTTGGCTATCGTGTTGACATTTCCGCCCAGTTCCTCTTGTGCCTTCTTTTTCACGTCTGCACACGCATTGGTTAGTCTGATGCGTGGATGTGGTTAAACTAAGGTAATACGCACCTGCCAAAGGATCGGTCGCGTTGTTCCCGTTGGTTGAATGTGAATGAAGTTCAGTATAGGTACCTAATAGCGATTGGAAAAAAATGATGCACTTGCGATAGCCGATGTGTCTGTAGATGTTGAACAGGCTGTGAGCATGGATGGATAGATGTATCAGGGAAGGAGACGCACTGAGAGGAACGGTATATCCAACGTGCGACGGAGAGCATTTCAATCCTGACCCATCATGTCGATCCGTACAAAACCCCGACAAGCCTGCAGGATTGAAGATCAGTAGTGCGCATAGATGTATGAGCAGGCATACAGTACCGAGAACGATGGTTTCCACTGTGCCGATCCTTGTTCCGTTTTGAGGAAGATTTATCTGTACGAAATATACTTGCTTGAGGACCGGGGCACTAAGTGCGACGATTGTGAGGATGACGGTAGCGATAGTGATGGTGACCAGTCCGAGGAGTTTGCTATAGGAAACCATTGCGGAAGTCCGGAGAACAAATTGGAAAGGAAAATGATAGGACGGTGGGGAAGAAGCCCAGGGTCTGGAAGGCAATTGAATTCCACAAGACGCTTCTAGTTGGCCTGCATGACTTACGCAGGATCGACCTGATGATAAAAAACGAACAACTCGCTTGCAGCCTGTGCAAATTGAAGCCCTCAGAAGGGAAGTTGCCAATGAAGGGGAAAGGCGCAAGACAGAGAAGGGGCCAGAGAATGAAAGAAACGAGGCTGGAATCTGCTTTCCGTCCTTTAGTAGTGATAAGTTCATAATCTGATTTTATCAGGGTGAGAATGACAAAGTCAATAGTATTTACACTCCCACACTGATGTAAAATCGAGAGCAGTCCCTTATTCAATTGCCAAGGAGAAAATATTGTTTCTTGGATGTTTCTGCCAGAAAACTTTGGCAAAATTCTTGAAAATATGCCAGGCGCTTGCCGCAGGTGTTCACAACCCGTGTCATCATCGCCACATATGTTTACTTCCATAAGCCAACTCTGCCATCAGCTATTTTTATATTTTGAGTGTTCTATTTATATCACGCCAATCTTGTCATTACCTCTGTGCGCTTGAATATCTGAGTACACAACAAATGAGGGTTTACCGCGGGAATTTAGTTGAGGATACAGACCTGTTTGACAGGGCCCCCAAATAAGGAAATAACGTGGCTAAAACGTGACGGAACGCCGGTGTATACAATATTCGCAAGGGGGTCCTCAGTCCATTCCCTACCCATTATAGCTACCAAACTCTCTGTATTTCATTTCCCCGATTTTCTTTTGATGCATTATTCGATCAGTAATGCCAAATTACATGTTTCTACACCGAATTTCGAGTTAGAAAATAATAGTAATTTCAGATTCGGATTCAGCGCCCAAGAAAACTTAAAGACCGGGCTTGATGTACTTTTCAAGGTTCCGGCATGCCTCTTGGTTTACCAGCTCCACTGTGAACTAATCTGTTTGGATAAAATATTGACAGCCCAAATTTATACTCATATCTTGGAAGTACTGCCGGCGCATCCCAATATTTTGCAGTAGCTTCTCAGAAGCTTCTCTGAGTGTAAAACTCACGAGGCCGGCATTGTAAATGTGTTTTCAATCCAACAACGGTAAATCTAAGTCAAATGCGACCCACAGCGTTTGGAATTGCGGAAGTCGGGGAAAAAATACTATCGGATCATGGCATGGCCCGTCCTTCCTGTATCTTGAGCATCTCCCCACGATCTACCAAGGCTTCATACAATTATTTTCAGGCTAGATTGGTGCGGAAGTTTTATTTCAACTGCCTATGTTTTTACCCTTGTCGCCGGCTGAATATCTTCGGAGTAAGCGAGAAATTAAGTGAGCTTGGGCTCGAGTCTGCTTCCCAAAGTATAATGACTTACTTGAATGCACAGAATGACACCAATTCAAAAAAATTCAACGTGACCAGCATTAGAAATTAGAAATGTATTTTCGTTCCAGAACCAAAGAAATTATATATTGCTTTAGATAGGTTTGAGGATGAGGTCCGAACAAAAAAAGATGGAGGACTCCAACCCGTCTTCCCGTTGCCACTGGAAAAGCTTGAAGATTGTAGGGATGATCCGATGAGGCTTTATATATGTGCCTCAGTGTAGTACTTCACAGCTCGAACTGAGCCCGGCAACTCCTGGCTGATGAACCGGGACGAAAATTAAATTAATCCGAATTCCCCTTTACTTGCAAAGGTCGAATTACTAACTTCGATGCCCAGAATGACTGAAAATGTTCGAATGTAAATGAAGACAAGATGCGGGAAGAAACGGAAGAGTAAAAAAGGCATTTTCGAGCCCCATCCCATGCGTTGAGGAGGATTCGAACCTCCGTCTTCCCATCATAGAGGGATGGAGGTAAAAAGAAATGCGGCGGGAGAAAATCACAGAGTTGCCCTCACCAAGGCTTATTCTCTCCATTCGGAGGTTGGATACGGTGGTTTCTACGCAAGTTGCCTGCCCCTGCCTGAGCGACTCAACATCGGAATTGGTAAAATGAAATAAATGAACTTGAGCTCCAATTTTGCTTGCCAGTTCTATATCATTGGTTGAACGCAGAGCGACCCGTTTGAATTGAAACAATGGTGAACAAAAGGCAAGGCAAGAACAGACTTATGCCTTGGGGAGGATTCTAACCTCCGGCTTCCCGTGAGAAACCTTCTACAGGAGTCACTGAGGAGGGATGATCTACCGATTGATCCACCCAGGCTTATTCTCTCTATTTCGAAGTTGGATAGGCGCTGTGACTTTTGTGCGGGCTGCCTGTTCATTTCAACCTTGTCGGTCAACCGAGTATCTGAGATCACAAAACTTGAATCAATGTGGATTTCAATTGGTTCGGTAGTTCTACATGTGTAAATGAACGCACAGGCTGGCATGTTCTAATTCTCGAATGAAACACGGGGAAAAATAAAAGCAAGAACAAAAAAAGTCATCAAGAATGTCATCTAACGCCTTGGGGTGGATTCGAACCCCCATCTTCCGAACGGCACAAAGTACTGTGACATTGATTACGGATGAGCTCCAATTGATCCACCAAGGCTTATTCTGTGAATTTGGAGGTTGGATAGGTACTGTGATTTCTGTACACTGCGTGTCGATTTTTCAACCCGCTGATTGAATATTTGTGTGACAAGTATCTGAGCTTTCGGACTCCAACTTTGTTAATGAGTTCTCCCTATGCACAGAACAACATTTTTTATAATGTTATATTAGAGGTAATGCAAGAAAGATACATGGTGGGGAAAAAAATCAGTGTCTACTACATAATGCATTGGGGAGGATTCGAACCTCCGTCTTCCCACCTCATACAGTGACCAGCCAACGCACCGAGTAGGGATGATCTTCCAATTGATCTAGCAAGGCTTATGCTCTGTATTTGGAGGTTGGATAGATGGTGTGATTTCTGTACATGCCTAGCTCTTTTCGTCTTTGTCGACCGCTGACCAAATATATCGTGGTGGAGGGAATAAATACACTCAAGCTCCCGTGTTTGCGCAGTTCTACATATGTAGGAACGTACAGACTGGCGTGTTTTGTTATGATGAAGAGAAAAAAACTTAAAGCAATGCCAAAAAGCCAGTCGACAATCCCATGCCTCGGGGAGGACTCGAACCTCCGCCTTCCCGTATAATCGTCGGAAGGTGACTCACTGGGTTGGGATGATCTGCCTATTGATCTACCAAGGCTTATTCTATGTATTTGGGGGTTGGTAATATTTTGGGTGCGAGCTCAATGTCTTTTCTAACCGTCTAAGCTACGATTGAATATCTGAGCAAACAAAAATCGAATGAACGTGGACTGCAATTGGTTTGCAAATCTACATAGGTGTGTGTATGAACACACAGACTGGCGTGGTTTCGAATGGAACAAAGGGGGTAAAATAACTAAGGCGAAAACAAAAAAGCAAATAAACAACTACCAGCATCAACCCATGCCTTGGGGAGGATTCGTACCTGTGTCTTCCTGAGTACAACTGCAGCATAACGAAATATTGAGTGGGGATGATCGACCAATGATCCACCAAGGCTTTTGTCTACCTTTTGGGGTTGGATAGGTGCAGTGATTTTTCTGTGAGTTGTGGACCTGCCTCTCGGCAATTCGAGCATCCGAATTAAATGAGCTCGAGCTCCAATTTGTGCGCCAGTTCTGTACATATGATTGTGTGAACTCGGAATGGCCTGTTTTGAATTGAAATAATGGTGAAAAAAAAGGCACAGCAAGACAGACCCATGCCTTGGGGAGGATTCGAACCTCCGTCTTCCCATAGATGTTCACCTCTACCACTTATAAAGCTGGGACGATCTACCACAGATCCACCAAGGCTTATTGTATTTAATTGGAAGTTGGATAAATGGGGTGATCTGCTGGCACTGTGTGCGAGTTGTGGACCTGCTTCTGCCTCAACGACCCAACCATCAGAATTAATGAATTAAATTACCGCAGACTCGCTTTTGCTTTCCAAGTTCTACTTAACCACTTACTTCAATGGATAGAACTGAATGAAGTTGAAGTAAATCGATCCAGAAAAACCATAAAGTGAGGAGAAAAGTCGGCGCTTTCCATATAATACAGTGCAGACTTGAACTCCGCCTTCCCTTGTCCACGCAATAGCCTACCTGACGTAACAGGAACAATCCGCCATGATCCACCGAGGCTTTCGTGCAATATCTATGCCCCAGATAAGGGTAGCCTTCATGTAAATTCACCTCACAATAATTTGAACTTCTCGAACCAAGCCCGGCAGCTCCCGGCCGAGCAACCAATCATGACCAAATCAAGCGTCTCCTTTTCGGCTGGTTCTTTCTCCCACCCACTGAGACTGACGTCGTGCTCGTTCATCTGAGGCTTGAGCTTTCGACGACGGACGACGACGCCAACGATGTCGACGATATCCAGCCCGGGCCCTGTGCCACTGGTTTTCCCGCGCCCCGCGTCGCCCACAAAGTCGCCCCCGTTTTCGGGAGAATAACACCAATAACAACAACACCACGAATGTGAATAGCTCGCCCACGCCGCGGTCGCGCACCAACTCGCTCTTCGACTCCCCTGCTAGGTACATTCTTACTACTGCGAATATTTTCAAATTTATTTATTGATCATGTATCAAGGCTCGCCACACCGCAGCACCCCAAGCTTCGACGGCCTCAAGCCCAACGCACACCCATACCCCATCCGCACAACTCGTCCACCACGCTCCTCACGCGTCCAACTCCACCAGCTCGCAGCAGCAGAACGGAGGGCGGCAGCACTACGTGCCGCCGCCGTCCCCGCACCCTTCGTCGTACCGCGCGCGCAGCAACTCCAGCGCTAGCGGGGACAAGAATGGCGGGAGCAGCGGGGAGAAGGCGGTGGGCGAGCGGAGGGGCGAGTGCCGCGGGCACCGGTACTCGCTCAGCTTGAGCTCGACTCAGGGGATGGCGTATGGGGGTTAGCCCGAGGGCGCTCCCGATGCTGTCTGGGTCAAGTGTGTTTCCTTCCTCTTTCCCTATATTCAACTCCTAATCCTGAACTAATTACAGAAACCACACCGAATGCACCCGCCACAATAAAGGAATAAACAACGGCACCTCGCCTAAGCGCTGGACGCCCGCACAGCTGGCCGCGTACCTCGGCGGCGAAGTCGATGCGTGGGTGGCTGTGCGTTCATGCGCGCATGGGCAAGGAGGAGCTGGGGCGAGTGGTTCTTCCTATCCGTTGCTTTCTTTTATTTTTTCCCTGCTTTCCATCCATAATGCCCCTCGATCCCCCTTTTTAATCCTTTGCCCTGCTTCTAGTCTTTCCCGTTTCCTTCTTCCCGCTGCCCGTCGTTGTCCGTATCCGTCAGGCCTGCCTCCCGCGCGCTCTTGTTCGTCCACACGCGAGATCCAACGCTACCCCAGGCGAGTTTGTCGTGCGTCGCGGTCTCTTTTTTTCTCGACGTGCCTCGCGGCGTCTTTATTCCGCTGCCCCCGCACTCGCTGTCGGCGATGCGACGGGGTGCCCGTGCGTTCTCGATAGTCCATTGTGTCCCACTCGAGTTCCGTGCTGCAGACACTCTCGTCGACGTGTCAATCAACCAACAATCCACCAAGACTTATACATTTCGCGTGCGGTGGCCCTTGATTTGTCTTAATCTTTTCGGGTGATTTCGAACTTGAGTCTGCTTATGCTCCCCATGGGCAGGTATCGAGAACGGAGTGGTCTCTTGGCCTAGCTTAAATTTGCGGACACTGGCAGCGAGTATCGAGATAGAGCAGAAGTTCAAGCTGGGTTGCTGTCGCTTGAGCTGGCTGAATAATGGGTGGAGTTCAAGCGCAGACGCGATGTTAAGCCGGCTTAATACTACGGTGTATATTTACAGTGTATATGTTATTTTATACGGCTTAAGCCAGCTCAGTTTGGAATGCAGCTTAAGCCAAGACAGGGGAGATTCATGTCACCGCGTCCCAGCTCTTGACTGTAGATTTCACTGTTAAGGCGTATTGGGGATTTTCAGGGTCACAAATACCAAATATGGCTACATCGAGTCGTTGAATTTATTTCCTGAGGCACAATTCACAACTTTGTACATAGTGTTTTGCTTCCCAGTAAATGATCAAATTTGATGGTTTCACTAAATGAGCCCTGTTCTCCACCATTTCTGCAATTAAATAGTCCAAACTTTTCAATAGGCATGTAGCCACAGAATAGATGCATCGACTAAAAAAATAGTTGAACGGAAATCAGTCTCCATCGCAGAGGAAATCGCTGTAGTGTCAAATCAGGTCGCAGCCCGGTTAAAGACTGTACTGTACTTTAACGATCAATTCGACAGGGGGGGTGACGCGTGACCACAAATTCCAGTTCGACAATTCGACAACCGCAAAAATTTGGCGTGACTGACCGGAAAATTTCGACAAATGGAGCCGAAAATTCGTCGAAATCGAGCTTTTTTGCGCGACCGCGGCCGATTTTGGTGTGACGAACCAAAAATTTAAGGTAGCGGACAGGCAAATACGGTTACCCCCACGTGCCGTGACGGTCACATCGCCTTTTTGGGATACACGACGTTTCAACCGTCCTTTTCACAACTTTACTGTAGTTTATAACAAATCTACGACAGCAGAGTTGTGGGCATATATGCTGTGTGTAATCTTGATTTTTTTCAAGAGTTTTGGTGCAAAATTGAGTGACTAGTTATGATTATTCTATTCACAAGCTACAAACCTGCATTTGGATTGCCTCCCCACATGATTCCAGCCGCCGGCATGTCCCTCAAAAATTCTGGGGGAAGTACATGATGCCTCTTGTACTTTCTTGCTGCCCAGGTAGCCTGTGCACCATCCAGTCCGTGTCAGTATGCATCAGCAAAACGGTGCACCCGGAGAACAAACCAGTGCATGGATTCCAGCGGAACCTCGTCAAGCACATTAAGTGTGTTCCACTCCAGTGCATCTTCCAGTGATGACTCGGGGTTTAGCCGATAGATTCGCTTGGTGTAGCCCCAGACCATCTCAATGGGATTCAGTTCACGATGGGCAGGCTGACTTCTAATTTTGGGAACTAGTCACCCAATTCTCAAGATTTTACCATTTTTAAGCCACAGATGGCAATAGTGGACCGATCCCCACGAAACTGCTGTGCCGAATTTCTCACTCTTCCCTGTGTGGATTAATTATTCATGTTTTCCGAGATTTTCGGACGACTTGTTCCCAATATGGTCATGTCACGGCACATCACGTGGGGTAACCGTATTTGCCTGTCCGCTACCTTAATAATAATTCGACAGAGCCCTGGGTGACGCGTGACAAGCACCGAATTTCGGCCTCGACAGACCCCCGCGTGACGCGTGACTGTTGAATTGATTATTAAAGTACAGTATTCTCTAGATATAAAAAATGAGGGGAAAAGTGGCAAAAGCAAATCGAAATAGGAGGGACCTTCGGAGCTTCGAAAGAATGGTTAAATTAAAGCTTACTAAAGTGCAACGCCGCCTGCTGAATATTTTTAATGGGTGTACATATGGCATTCAACGCCGTGCGGGAACCAAAGGAGACGCGGTCCATATGGAGATATTTGAGGCCTTGTATGTGATGCTTGTAGTGGGGAGAAGGATTTCGTTTCAGATTCGAAAGCGTGAACCTTCCAGTGGCTGCCAGTGGAGGGAAAAAAGTAAGATTGTAACAATCAGGTGAATCCCAAAATGAACACGGCATATGAACTCCATCAGGAAAAATCTTGATGGATACGGAGCCCTACGTAGCCCGTGTAGCCGGCGTACTAACCCGTTGGAGATAACGAATGCCGCTGGACCATACTAACCGTTCAACCCAGCTTAAATTATAAAATTCGAAGCGGCCGTATCCGAAAATCTTTGAATTCCCTCTCACTTCTAACCATTGTTCCGAAAAAATTATGGCTCATCATAGCCTGAGTAATCTCTCAATCGGTACTTTTGTTCTCCCAATAAGTTAGGCGATGTCAATTAAATGAGCATGGTGTTCTCGCTTTCCATACAAGAGCGGTGTAGCGGACGAGAAAAAACCAATATACGGAGATCCTGCGGGGCGCGAGCCACCTACTCGGCCGCCGCTTCGATCAGGAGGAGATGGTCTGTCCGGCATGACAGACTAAATGCAATTGACTTTTTTTCCGATGGAGTCAGACGAAGGGCGCCGAGTATTGGACTGATCAGTGACTATACAGTGAGAATCTCACAAGCAAATAGGTTGCCACCAAGGGCGTTGGGGAGCTGATTGTCTCATAAGCTGGAGCCGTAAGTGGAGCGAGGTGACACGCCAACAAGCGCCCACAACTGTCAACGTTCCTCATGAATCATCTTAAGCCTATTTATACTAAGTCAAGGGCAAAGTGTGCATCGCCCGTAGACTCACGCTCATTTGCACGCTGGAATGCTTGGTTTGCTTCAATATTTCACTGATCATTGAAGACCATAATAATAATAACTTACATGCCCACTGGTAAAGATAAGGTAAATAGTAGTAAAATAATTAGCTTTGCATTTTATCGCTTTGCGGGGGCTTCTGATGGAACTGTGTTTGTTCTAATGTTATCAAACAGACTCGTCATCTCGATCCAAAGTACGAATCTGCGGTCGCCGATCTTGTACGAAATGAAGGGACCCGAGTTGTGTCGAGTCCCTGTTTTCGCGGATTTGGCTTGCTCCCTCTATATGAGCTGCTTCGTGCAAATTGAGCATCAGGCGGCATAACAAGGACGTTGATAGACTGTCGGATGTGCGCGTATAGTCAGAAGCCATTCAAAATAGACAAAATTGGGCGCACGCTGTAGTGAACCAACAGAGGATTTCGGAAAGCAGGATCTGCGGAGATTATCAAACTCAAGTAGGTGAAATAACAGAGCCAATTTGTACATCACCAAGCTATATAAAGTGAGCCAGGTGTAGAATGACAGAAGTGCCGTTTTACGCACATAGATCGTCAAAACGTTTGCCAGATTAGCTAGAACGATGATTCTGTGCGGCCTCTTTAACAGCTGCCGACGCGAGCGGGAAATGCATACCCAAAATACATGGCACCTGAAGAGTGAAGTGTTCGCCGTGTAGATCCGGAACTACAAACGCAGCATTGAAAAGCTTACCATCGCGCGCCATGACTGTGGTCAACGAGTCACTCATCATCTGGGCTATGTCCCGGTTCACATATGCCCGACCTAGAGTGAGAACCAACACGAAGAAGTCACACACAAGCCTGTGGTTCATTCACGACGGCTTCTGGAATAATGTCAGACCACTCACTTTCCAAACCAGGCGGATGCAAATCCTACGAGAAGATGAGCGTCGTTGATTGGATTGAGCAGACATGAACTTGCGGTAGGAACTGGTAAAAAGAGATATATAATCCACAAGGATCTGCAAAAGGCTCAGCTGGCTTACGTAGATTTTTGAGCGACTGTATGGCAGCCAATAAACCCGGGAGCGGTCAACATGACGGGACCCGGAGAGTGCAATCCGACGATGGTCCACTACCAAGGAACATCTTCAATATGTTCATTGGGAATAGTTGGTAGAAATTACACATACGATAATGAGAGCACCAGTGACGGTGCTTGGGACCGTCATCACGGCCAATACACGCATGTCCGAGCCATACATTGCGAACACGCGGAGACCAAGGGTAACTTGAAACCTTCAATAATCAGAACTCGGACGAACGGCACGTGTACTCACCTTCAACCAGGAATCCCTGGATGAAAAGCAAACATTGTAATGCTATCACAATTTTGGAACAGCTGAGCACGGTGTAAGTAAACAGGGGGAAATGAGGCGGTTTGTACATACGTCTGTGGAGAAATAAATCCCCCATCAACTGCGACAAATAACACACAAACCTCAGGAAGAAAATCGCCAAAGTAGAATGTCGCGTATGTCGCAATAGCAACGATAGCCATATACCGTACTAAAAAAAACCAATATGTTGCAAGTCTGTGTCGCGGAAGCCACACCCATTTGACCTCCGATTCGAGGGTGAGGAGGTGATCGTAGATTAGAATAACTGCGGAGGCGAAGGGAGACATTCGTAAAGGCAGAATGGTAGGGAATTCTACCCACCGACTGCGGATATAAGTATGGAGCGGTAAACCTGACTAAAAGCCAGAATATCAGTCAATAATGATGGTTCAATGGTTACAAACTTACTGGCCCCAAGCGAATGTCGAAAGATCGAGGCCGCCTGTATTCAGAGCAAGAAGTGACCTGGGAGAGGTAGAAAGCATTGTGGGGAGGCACTAGCTTGGAGATGGCAAGGCGCCCGGGCTTATAACAATATCCAGCTGGGGAGATGATAATATCATAATATTCCCGGAATGACAGACAAGGTTCTGACCGCGGGTGGAAATGATGCCTTCAGACCCCTCGTGATTGCCCATAGAGAAAGATCCTGGCGACTATTCTCTTCCATTGAACGACAGAAATTTGTGTAGGAAGGGACAGAGACTTCCCACACCTCTTCGGGCGTGTGTAATATCGCTTACTGGTTGTGGATACCGTCTGCGGCTAGGCTCAGACAGGTTATGTTCTCGTACGCTGTCACAAGGGACAGAGAGAGACATGTAGGGATGCTTTCAAGTGCTCCGTCGGCGCCATAAGTGGAGTGAGGTAAGCCCATAATAACTATTCATCAATGGCGAACAAGTGCCAGCTACTCGGTACCCGGAGCAACCAGGAGAGAAGAGTGAGTGGAACAAGAGTGGAAGGTTAAATGTGAATCGGCTTCCGGATGATCGCATCAGAAAATCATGATCACCGACGGCAAAACTGCCATTCATTTATTGGTGGGCTCATTGCTTAGCATTCTAATAAGCACTATTATGGCCTAAGTTCATACACTAGTACGAGCGGGTCTTTGTGCCATGCCAAGTCACACTGGCCCGAGTAGTACAGCTTGCCTGTCAAGTCACTCGTGTTGTGCTTGTGCCTCCGCTTCCCATTCCAGAAGATGGTTAGGTGCGGCAATTTTCCTGTTCATGTGTTGTGAGATATATCCGCCCTTGAATATCACGGGAAACATCCACCGTTAATACCAATTGTAGAAATTGAATGAACTGGGACTCCAATTTCGTTTGGTAGTTCCATAAAACAGACACTGCGCCGGATAGCCGAAGCCATTTTTAGCCGCTTGTAGCCGCGGCGAGCTCGTCCTGGTCACCTAGACAACGACTAGCCAGAGCCATCGCGAGATCATTGTAGGTCCGCGACGCTCAGCTCGACGCAGCTTTTCTAACCGGCTAGCAGAACCTCGACACTAGTTTTGCTAGTTCTGCCGGTGCTAGCCATTCATTTGGCAACAGCACGAGTCATTGACATGGGCCAAGCATGTAATAATAATATATTAATTAAACACCATTGCAACCACCACAATGCACGGTAATCGTAGTCAGGGATGGAACAAAGGACTTGGAAAGCGCAGCTGCTGTGGCCGAGACATTCCGAGCACAGTATAAAACATCACGCAGGCGCGCCGAAAACAGATGTACGGTGCGGAGGCAGGAGGAGAAGGGATGACAGGAATCGTAAGCTTCGGTACTTGCGAACCAAGGTAACGTTTCGCGCCGGGGGGCTGGCGGGGTATCTCCTTCCATGGAATGGTTGCTGGAGGTAGCTAGAGTGATCATACGCGTGCTTAAATGCAAGGTAGACTCGCAAAAGGAAGAAAAGCGCGTCGAAGTCCTCCGTAACGGGTGTGACGTGACGCGTTTTTTTTTCAAACTCCGATGATTATTGTGATAACGTTGGGCACCAATCAACCGATCAAGGAAATCAACAGACTACAACATGCGAGGTACGAGCTTCAACGGTTGTAGCGTCTGTCTAGGAGAGACTATGTGAGAGGAGTCTGCTATACTGTGTCGATGTATGGAGTCGCAACGTGCACGCGCGCGCAAGATTGAGGACAAAAGTTCGGATCAAGTAACACTGCCACTGATACGGGACAAACAGCCACCCACACTGAAGATGATGGCTATTTTGATTTTATCCTACCTATATCCTACATTGAATCTCTGACTTCTAACGGATGCCTTGAGACATGACTAGAGATGCGGGCAGGACACAGGCCCTGGCTAGTTCTTGCTAGATGGCTAGCCATGGCTAGACACTTCTTGTCGAGGCGACCTCGACATTTGGCACTGACTACTTCCTGGCTACACGGCTCGCCACGGGGCCCTGCTACCTGAGGCCTGAACGCAGTGAGATTAAATAAATACGGTGAAAACAAAAAACAACATCCTGACGACATTCTCATGCTTTTGGGAGGATTCGAACCTCCGTATTCCCGTGTGAAACCTTCTACAGGAGCCACTGAGGAGGGATCATCCACCGATTGATCCACCAAGGCTTATTCTCTCTATTTCGAAGTTGGATAGGCGCTGTGACTTTTGTGCGGGCTGCCTGTCAGTTTCAACCTTGTCGGTCGACCGAATATCTGAGCCCACAAAACTTGAATCAATGAGGATTTCAATTGGTTCGGCGGTGCTACATGTGTAAGTGAACGCACAGGCTGGCATGTTCTAATTCTCAAAGGAAACACGGGGAAAAATAAAAGCAAGAACAAAAAAGTCATCAAGCATATCAGCCAACGCCTTGGGGAGGATTCGAACCCCCATTTTCTGAACGGCACAAAGTATTGCAACATTGACTAGGCCTTGGGGATGATCTACCAATTGATCCACCAAGGCTTATTCTGTAAATTTGGAGGTTGGATAGGTACTGTGATTTCGTACACTGCGTGTCAATTTTTCAACCCGCTGATCGAATATTTATGTGACAAATACCTGAGTTTTCGAACTCCAACTTCCTTCATGAGTTCTCCCTATGCGTAGAACAGCATTTTTACAATGTTATATTAGAGGTAATGCAAGAAGGATATATGGCGAAAAAAAAAATCAATGTCGAACGCACAATGCGTTGGGGAGGATTTAAACCTCCATCTTCCCACCCCATACAGTGACCAGTCAACGCACCGAGTAGATGATCAGCCAATTGATCTGGCAAGGCTTATGCTCTGTATTTAGAGGTTGGATAGATAGTGTGAGTTTTGTACATGCCTTGCTCTTTTCGACTTTGTCGACCGCTGACCAAATATATTGTGGTGAAGGGAATAAATGCACTCGAGCTCCCGTGTTTGCGCAGTTCTATATATGTAGGAACGCACAGACTGGCGTGTTTTGCTATGATGAAGAGACAAAAACTTACAGCAATGTCAAAAAGCGAGTCGAAACTTGTACCAATTAATGCCTCGGGGAGGATTCGAACCTCCACCTTCCCTTATAATCGTCGAAACCAGGTTCACTGGGTTGGGATGATCTGCCTATTAATCTATCAAGGCTTATTCTCTGTATTTTGGGGTTGGGTAGGTGGGGTAATTTTTTTGGGTGCGAGCCCGATATCTTTTTCAACCGTCTAAGCTACGATTGAATATCTGAGCAAACAAAAATCGAATGAACGTAGACTTCGATTGGTTTTGCAAATTCTACATAGGTATGTGTATGAACGCAGAGACTGGCGTGGTTTCGAATGGAACAAAGGGGGTAAAATGACTAAGGCAAGAACAAAAAGGTAATAAACGCTGTCGTCATGCCTTGGGGAGGATTCGAACCTCCGTCTTCCCATGTGTATGCAGTGTACGGCTCAATCCACGGAGAAGGGATAATCTGCCATTGATCCACCAAGGCATATTCTTTACCTTTGGAGGACGGATATGTGCTGTGATTTTGTGTAAGCTGCCTGTCATTTTTCAACGTTTCAACCCTTGTCGGCTACAATGGAATATCTGAGCAAAAAAATCGAATGGACGTGGACTTCAATTGGTTTGGAATTCTACATAGGTATGTATGTGTATGAACACACAGACTGGCGTGGTTTCGAATGGAACAAAGGGGGTAAAATAACTAAGGCGAAAACAAAAAAGCAAATAAATATTGATCCCATGCCTTGGGGAGGATTCGAACCTCCGTCTTCCCGCGTACATTTCACTCATGACAGAACATTGAGTAGGGATGATCGACCAATGATCCACCAGGGCTTTTGTCTACCTTTTTGGGGTTGGATAGGTGCAGTGATTTTTCTGTGAGTTGTGGACCTGTCTCTCGGCAATTCGAGCATCCGAATTAAATGAGCTCGAGCTCTGATTTGTGTGCACCAGTTCTGTACATATGATTGTGTGAACTTAGAACGGCCTGTTTGAATTGACATAATGGTGAAAAAAAAGGCAATAGAGCCAACTTATGCCTTGGCGAGGATTCGAGCCTCCGTCTTCCCATAGATGTTCACCTTTACCATTTATAAAGCTGGGACGATCTACCACAGATCCACCAAGGCTTATTGTATTCAATTGGAGGTTAGATAAATGGGGTGATCTGCTGGTAGTGTGTGCGAGTTGTGGACCTGCTTCTGCCTTAGCGACCCAACCATCAGAATTAATGAATTAAATTACCGCGGACTCGCCTTTGCTTTCCAAGTTCACTTACTTCAATGGATAAACCGAACGAAGTTGACGTAAAATCGATCCAGAAAAATTTCAAAAACCATAAAGTGAGGAAAAGAGTCGGCGCTTTCCATACAATACAGTGCGCACTCGAATCCCGCCTCCTCCTGTCTACGCAGTAGCCTACCTGACGTAACAGGGAGAGGATTTCCTGCAATATCTATGCCCCAGATAAGGAGCCTCACAATAATTTGACCAAGCCCGGCAGCTCCCGGCTGAGCAACCAATCATGACCAAATCAAGCGTGGCACTCTCCTCGTCGTTCATCTGAGGCTTGAGCTCCCGGCGACGGACGACGACGCAGACCATGTCGACGATAACCAGCCCCGGCCCTGTGCCATTCGCCTTCCCGCGCCCCGCCTCTCCCGCAAAGTCGCCGACTACATTCCGTTGAATAACACTACGAATATGAATACGCCCCCGCAGCGCAGCACACTCAGTGTGGCGCGTTTCTTCGTCCTATTTTTCGCGCTGTCGACGTATCGTCATCCTGCCACTCGGGAGCCGTCCAGCCGTAGGACACTCGCCATAGCGGAATCGTCGACTGTCGCCTTTCGTGTCGTCTGGGATTCCTTCTTTATCCCTTCGCACGCATCGTCACGTCCTCGTCCACCTTTCCGTCCTCCGCACCCCTGTCCTCGCACCCCTCCTTCCCCCTCTCCATCCAACCTTGCTTTACCTTACCTTCCCTTCGTCCCTTCATCTACTTCGCTTTCCTCCTCCTCCTCACCTCCACCTCCACTTCGCACCCCTTCCTTTAACTTCGAGACTTCGAGAGCGTCGGTGGTGACGTCGGCCATCTTCGCACTCCCCACTTGCTTGTCTCCCACTCCTTCCTCGTCGTCCGTTGCTTTCTCGCCCCGCACCTCTTCCTTTTTTGTTTCATCTCCACCTCATTCGTCGACCACACCTCCACTCGCCTCCGCGTTTGACCTGTTCCGTTGCTTCTCCCTTCCTTCATTTGCTTACCCCACCCCTCTGCAGCCACGAGTCGTCGTCTTTGATGTCGCAGGCCTTGCGGTGGTGGTGGCGGCGGGCTCTCTCCCTCTCGTGTCCACTCACGGTGGGCAGCTCGTCCGAGACACCAGTCGCGGGCGATAAGACCCTCGAGTATGTCTTTTTATGGCGGTGCTCACGCGGGGGTCCACGGACTAATCCCTTCCGTTTTATCCTTAGTCTAAGGGATGCGCGACACCGACTGTGGGCGACAGGACGGCGGAGGCAGCCACCCGCCTCTTTTTATGGCGGCATGCCGAGTCAGTCCCCAGTCCTTGGACTCGTCCCTCCTTTTTTATCTCTCCCTCCACCCTCATCCGCCTCTTCTTCCTTCCCTCGTTCTTCCTCTACCACTCTATTACCTCCTCCACGTCTGCATCCTCCATGCCCTCCCGCTCTTTCTCCCCTTCCTTCACATCCCTCCTAACCTGCCATCGGTGCTGCACCCTTCGCCACCTCCAGCCAAACCCCACTCGCACTCGCACCTGCATCGCGTCAGCCACATTGGCGCTGCGCCGATCTTCCCTTCCACACACCCTCCCTCCCTCCCTCCGCCATACCTCTCTTCTCTCTCCCCTCCCCCGTGCTTTCCCCGTCCGAAAACCCCGCCCCACTCCATACATTCCTTTTGTCCTTCATCACCCCACACCTGTGCTCCGTGGTCCCTTCCCTTCCTACTTCTACCCTTGGCGCCACTTTCCTTCCTTCTCCTCCCTCCCCATCCATCTACTCCCCATCCGTTCCCCCTTGTTCAGCGTTCTTTTCTTCGCTACGCGCTTCCTCCCTTTCCGGCGCATCGCACACGTCACAGGCTTGCTGTCTTTCTGCACCCTCGCCGCTCGCAAATACTCGGCCGAACGCGTCGTCCCAAGGGGTACCCACCGGAAGATGCCGAGACACGCGCTTAATGTATAGTATGGGTCTGGGGCACCTTAATCCAGTTTTCGGACTTCGCCTCAGAATGCTTCGAAAATGTGTGTAAACAGTTGTCGTTTTTTTGGTTGTTTTTTTTTTTGGGTTTTTTTACCCTGAGGGTAAATTTCTCGTTACTAATGTCCTCGAAAAAATGCTTGCAATGGGCCAACATGTTCTTCAAGGGTATGCTGTTTGGCCAATTTCTAGTGCTTGACTTCTATATAGTGTCCAGCTCCATTTGTGCTGCAGTGGACTGAGGAAGAAATCAACTTGTGCTTGATTGTTGATACTGCGAATGGCGGAGGCAGGGTGCGCAAAAAGGCGTGTGGCAGTTGATAGATTAGGTTCCAGTAGGAATGAACACACTAGTTTGGTCTAGCAATTTATTTTACGCTCCCTGACTTCTGAAAAGGCAGACAGAAAATAATAAGCGCGCCGGCATATCCCGAAAATCCCCTCTTTAGGCCAGAATTGATGGCAAGTGAGGCGGGTCGAGCCGGAAAGATCATTACACCCTTGCAGATCAATTTTCGGAGTGCCGGAGAACCATCCCTTTTCTATTCTGGGGCTTGGCAGTGCTCTACGGCGGGTTGCTGTAGTTGGCACACTGAGGTGAGATGGGATCGTTCTGCCGTGATTCCATCTCCCGCAAAAAGCTAAGCCCGCAGATACCGTGGAGCGTCTGCAGATTGCCACATGGCAGTGTCACATATTTACCTTTGCTCCCTTGTTAACTGGGTTCTTAAATTTGGGGTGAAATGCCAATGTTCGTAATGATGGAATGGAAGTTCACCTGGATTCAAAAAGTTGTCTCACTTTTGTTCGCGGCATTTCATTTAAAACATGCGGTTTATTTTCGATGCGGAACATCCACAGATACCTATATCTGCATTTATGATGTGATGCTGGGAATGTATACGGAAGTATCTGTGGGAAGAACACAGCAAAAGATATATAAGCCCAGCTGAAGAACACCCCTCCCATCATCAATGCCCACCATGCCTACCGCAGGGAATTTCAAGAATCTTATTGAATATATCACCCTGGCCGCGACTACTGCAAAAAACATTGCAGAAACAGCCAAAGTGCCTTTCCTTGGTTCAACTGCTGCCCTGTGCTTGTCAATTACGAAGTCTGTTCAGGTAAGCCGATCCTTCTGGCTATTGACACAATATTTACCCCCACAAAAAAAAGACCATCAGATCAAACAAGGAAGAATATGTTGAAATTTTGGAGCACATTCATGAAATCCTGTGCATCATTGTCCAGCTTGATTCGACTTTAGAGATCAGGGGTGTCCTTCCAACAGCACTCCTGTATGACATTGCAAAATTCACAGAGTGAGTCCCATTTTATGATGACATTGTATTTATTTTACATTTTACACCAGGGCACTTGAAAAGTTGTTCACCACACTGAATGGGCAACAAAGGGCACTCTAGGAAAAATAAAGGGACTTTTCAAACAGCCTGAGGCTGGAGAAAAATTGGAAAAATGCAAGCAAGAGCTCAGCCAGGTGGTTGGATTGTTCAAGGTATATCAGATGAAATCTGTCTCAGTGCACATTCAAATCATTTGCAGGCTCAAGTTACAGGTTCAACCTTGTCTCAAATGGGGCAAATGAAAGAGGATGCCAAGGAACAGCATGAAAAGCTTGTTGCCCTTTTGGAGAAAGACTCTACCCTCACTGGATCTGATCGCTCCTCAGTGAGTAGCAAAGTATGACCATTGAAATTTGTAGCTCATGGTTGTTAGATGGCAGGAACTCTGGCAAGTTTGAAGAATAATAGGTGAGGCAAACCTGCAAACACCATCAATCCTACTAAAGGTCTTGAACAGCTCAGGATCTTTTGGTCTACTTCCACCCTGCCCACAAATCTTCAATGGCCGTGAATCAGAGCTCCAAGATGTGGTGAACATTCTCATACAGGACTCTGCCCACATTGCTATTCTTGGTGCAGGAGGCATGGGAAAGACCAGCCTCGCCACAGCAGCCCTCCATAATCCACAAGTGGAAGCCAAGTATTCACATCGATACTTTATTCCATGCCACTCGAGCCCCACTTGCACTGAGCTGGCAGCGACAATTGCAAATCATATTGGGCTGGAGAAGGGCTCAAACATGGCAAAGAAGATTGCACATTATTTTGTCCATGCTCCCCCTTCCCTTCTGGTCTTAGATAATCTGGAAACCCCATGGGAAGCCCTTTCAGCTCGCTCTGAAGTTGAAGAGTTTCTATCTCTTCTGACTGATGCCCCCCACTTGGGCCTCATGGT